TTTTCACCTTCACGGCTGACCCATGACAGTACTGAACACCTTTTAACTTCCATCTAAATTTATTTAAAAAGCACAAAGCATCCGCGGGTTTTTAATTTTGGTATTTATTTTCTTCTTAGCCTACGGGAACTGCTTTTGGGAATTTCATACGTTTCCATAATGAGGTTTGAAAATGGAGATGAAACAGTTAAAACAAAATATTTTGTACATTTGTACATGATTTACGATTAATTTTTTTTGCATAGATTTAAGTGGCATGACCGGGTCTAGCACTCATTTTTTTTTTTGGGTGGGGGAGTTTACTTTAAGATAAAACTAGTAAATAATAATTAAGATTTTAATTAAATTGAACCATATCAGATTTTTAGGTATTTATATTATATATAAACGACTGTATAACAATTTACTTATACTTTATTGTTAAAGTAAATAAAATACAACATAAATTTGTATTTATATTTATCAATATTCGAAAATTGAATACATCAACTTACTGAATTTACTTACTGTATAAATTATGTTTGTATAATAAAAAAAAATCTAATTTACAATCTAGTCTAACCCGAGTGACAGGCGTTTCTGAGTTTGATTTTAAAACAACATCATTTTAAAAATAATAAAATACCATTTCCAATGGTATCGCCGACGCTGATAATGACTATTATATTTGTATATATATATCAATATATATAATATATATATAATATTTCGTTATTCTGGATACAAATCCAAAAATGTAATAGTTTGAGTACACTATAAATTCTATTTGTATGTATCAATAAATATACATAATATTTTTATTATCGACAAGACTCGTGCTTTTATTCATATACAGGTTTATATTTATGAATGTAAACATTATTACCCAGTTATTATTGACGTCTTCCAATAAGGTACACCAACGAAATTCGAAAAAACTAAAATTCATTGGCGTGTCCATAAGCCTAAGCAAGCAATAACGATAATATCACGTATTTATTATTATTTTTTTTTTTTCAGGCTTTAAGTTAAAAGAAAATTTTTCAAAATATTTTTATTTTTATTTTACATAATTTTCAGGAATACATACTTAAAAAAAATGGAAAAAAAGACATAAAGGAAAGGTAATACAAATATTTGTCGATCAAATTTCGGGGGAGGTTTGAACCCGGAAACCCCCCGTCCCCTCTGAATACGGCCATGTTAAGCGGTCGTCGTTTATATTTTACTTTTGTATTATTACATGTAACCCATTTTTTAGTGTGCTCATATCATTAAAGAATCTCGGTGGCATATAACCAAGTTTAACTTATATTTAATTAGATAATGAATTTAGGACGAGGTTAATAGTTTTAGTAGTTGGATTCGCCCAAAGCTATATTTGTAATAAAACGTAATAATTTACATTATTGACATGTGAACTTTGTTGACGAGGACAACATGTTCTGCAAATCAAACAATTAAATTGTGTAAATATTCTTTATGCATATTACTATTATTATACTCTGAAAAAATAGAGAAAAAAAAACAACTACACTAAATATATATTCTTTATACATTTCTACTCGATCCGAACATATGTCTCGGAGTTGAAGTAGGTCAAAGTTGAAAATTGAAAAATCTTAGTTTTTTTTTTTTGTTTTTCAAGAATAACAGTGAAATTGTGAACTCTTACTTTCAGTTACAATACCTTCTAAAGAACTATAACCTCGTCGCCTCCATTATGCACTGACCACACTGGGTTTGGCTTTTTTTATTTTAATTAGTCAGTACAATAATTGTATGTTTGCCTGTAAAATTGTCCTCGAGAGACTGTACTATATAAACACCGTTTTTTTTTCGTTATAATTTGTAAATTAAAAAAAAAAAATATGCTTAACACATGTTTTAGCAAAAACTATGTAGGACATAATTCAAAGTTACAATTCGAATAGATATTTATTCTAATGTGTAAATATTACAACAGCCTTTAAATTGCTGAATTATTGAAAAAATATTGTACATATTGGGTTATATACTAAAAGGGTATATTATTATTACTAATTGTTTACCTTAAACAGATACCCTTAGCGAAATCATAAGCCTAAAAAGTAAGCTAATATAAAGAAATAAGTAAAAAAAAAAATTATTTTAACGCACTTAACCCCACCTAACCCCTCTATCTGATCATCAAACCGCACACCCCAAAATAGCATTAGTCTAGCATATTATATTACTACTTTTCAATTATGCAATTTAATAATATCTTCTCTCTAGTGTGAGATAGCTTAATAGTAGCGATATTTTCCTACTGCACATATACGTAGAATATATTATTTTAGGCCGGCAATTATTGTGATTGAGTATATTAAAATAAACGTTTCAATTTAATCAATAATACATGTGTTAATTAGATGTATACAATAAATCTATGAATTTTACCTATTATGGCTAAGAACAACAAATAATTAATCCGTTTAAAGTGACGCATTTTTTATTTTTTTCTTATTTCAAGATATTGTGTTTTATGTAAAACATATTTACAAGAACTTTAAAAAATATGTTATTATACTCTTTACCAAACTAAGAATATCTTTGTAAAATATATATTTATTGTAAATATTTTGTTGCCAACAGCTTTTCCACACAAAAAAACATGTTTGTTATCGTCTAAAAAAAGTATACAAATTACACAGAATATTTCTTAGTCATTCTTCGAGTCGTTCAATTTTCAGTTAGTTATACATTGTTTATAAAAATGTATTTTAAAAAAATCATTACACTGACCATCGTATCACTTTTTGTCTTAATAGCAATTACAGGTAACATAATATATTTTAGTTTTCTGCCAACTTATTATATTATAGTACATATCATTATGTTACAAAATAATAAGATACATATTTTTTAATTATTGTAATGTGCTGTGTAAAAATTATTTGAATTGTTTGTGTGTTTAAATTATGTTAATGCATTTAATGTATTACAGCCGTTAATGGAAGACCCAGTGGGACAGGTAAATTCTTTTAAATGAAGTTTCCTAAATTGTTGTAAAGTTAGTGTACCTCTTGATACATATTTACTTTTATGAGACGGCAAACATATTTCATTTTAACCTTTAATTCAAAAATAATACTGGTAAATTACGTTAATTTAATTATGGAGAATTCTAGTATAGTTGAGACTTTTTTTTAAAAAAACAAAGCTAATAAATTTAGACTACTATCAGTAGGCGTAAAATTAAGTTTATTTTTCCTTTTCCAAGTCGACTAGACTAGTTACTTATTGTTAGGCTTATACATTATTAACTATATTAATATTTATCTCTGATGTGTGTCGTATAAGATGAGACGAGCGTTTTCATCTGCCCATCAATTAGTATCAACTAATTATGTTAAAATGAACAATATGTTTATTCTGATATTTTAATTAAATTATATGAAAAACCTATTTTATTTATTTAATTCGCATTATTTTGTTTATGAATAACACTTTTTGTATGCAGGAGGAAGTGGTAGTTATAACTGCAAAAGTAAAAACATTTTTGGTTTAATTTATAAAAAAAAAATATGTAAATAAGATACTATTAATTAACTGTTCAAAGTTAAACGAGGTTTTCCATTCTGATCTACTAATGATTAAATAAAATCAAAACATTTTTTTGTACACAGGGAATGCGAGCGCTGACCATGTTCGCTATTTCGGTAGATATACTGTAACTTTTTTAGGTTAACTATAGAAAATTCTATAGTTGTTTGTTTTTAACGTAATACAGATACTGTAATCTACTTATTTTGCTTTTATTGTGTATAAATACAATTTGTTGTATGTAGGATTAGAGGACAGTGATGCTGAAGAAAGGAAATGTATTAGTGCAGCTATCAGTATGTATACTGTTACTATTTTAGCTTACTTAATTATAGAAAACTCTTGTCTTGTCGAAACTTTCAAAAAAATATACCTCATCAATTAAAACCGATACAAGTAGTAAAGCTAAGTTAATTTAGTAGACTAATTATTTATTCTTAATTTAATATAATTTCGATTGTTTTTGATTGGCCATGTGAAAGATATGATGAGCGTTTTCATCATCCACTCACAGATAAACTTGTATTAATTTTTTACGTTAAAATTAACAATACGTTAATATTGATAATTGAACTAAGTTTTATAAGGTATAATTATATTATTTATTTCATTTTATTATGTATAAAAACCATTTGTTTTATGGAGATGATAAAAAACAGGGCAAATCATCTGTTCAGTGCATTATGTCTTATTTTATGAACTGATTGTTAAAATATCTAATATTTTGTATTAATAACACTTGCTTTATGCAGAAAATAGTGAAGGTCAAAGTTTCGATGGCCTAGTATCTAAAGTATGGAGTACACCAAAAGGTTCTAATTCCGGTATGTTTGCGTTCGTAGTTTTTTTGTAATTTATTTGTGTGAATTATAATTTGGATTTTTTGAATATTATATAAATTACCATAGTTCATACGATCCGTTAATGATAATTCTTACATTATTATTTTTAACTCGGATTTATTTCACTATTATTACTGTTAGATAATATTTGATTGTAGGCCGACATAAGAGACGGAGAAAAAATATTTTTCTCAGTCCGTTGCACAACAGTTTTTGTTTAAAAATTCAATGAATAGAATAATCTTAAAATAAAAAACTTACAATAATTTTTTACATCATGATCTTGGAATATTGGTAAAACCCCCTATCAATCCATTTTACAACAAGAAGTTAGAGCATATTTACCTAAAATTGGGGGTAGTAAACATATTTTAAGATGTTTTAAAATATCTAATACTTTGTATTAATAACACTTACTGTATGCAGCAACTAGAGACAACCTACAACCCAAAGTATCAAATCCTCCATCAGGACAAAATCCCGGTATGTATGCTTTTGTAGTTTTATTGTATTTTTTTTGTGTAAATATCAATTTTTTTTTATGTTATTTCATAGCAAATGAAAAATAATTTCAATTAAAATAATTTGATTTCATAATTTTTTGTATACAGAAGTTGATACAGTCGATAAGGACGACAGAGCACGTATTATGAAAGCTGTATGTATGTATCTGTAACTATTTTAGCTTACTTAATTATAGAAAACTTTTGTCTTGTCGAAATTTTCAAAAAATAAATCTCATTAATTCAAACTATAACAAGTAGTGAAGTTAAGTTAATTTAGTAGACTAATTATTTATTCTTAATTTTATATAATATCGATTGTGTTTGATTGGCCACGTAAAAGATAAGATGAGCGTTTTCATCATCCCCCACAGATAAACTTGTATTATTTTTTTACGTTAAGATTAACAATGCGTTAATACTGATAATTGTACTAGGTTTTATGTGATATAATTATATTATTTATTTCATTTAATTATGTATAAAAACCATTTGTTTTATGGAGATGATAAAAAACAGAGCAAATCATCTGTTCAGTGCATTATGTCATTTATGAACTGATTGTTAAAATATCTAATACCTTGTATTAATAACACTTACTGTATGCAGCAACTGCAGTAACTGATGGTTACAGTTACATTAACCAACACGAAAAAACATATGGTAAACCAAAAGGTGCTAATCCCGGTATGTATGCTTTTGTATTTTTTTTTGTTTTTTATATAATTTCATAATTTTGATTTTTGGAAACGCTGCAATATAAATGTCCATAATTCATACAATCCGTTCGTTATCCCACGAGCCGCTATTAAATGATGATTCTTACATTATTATTTTTAACTCACATTTGGTTCACCATTATAACTGTTCGATAAAAAGCATGGAACAATATGCTTAGCAGTTACTACTTACTTGTTGACTATATTAATATTTGTCTCTGAAATGTGGCACGTAATGTATTATGATGAGCGTTTTCATCATCCGAACAATTAATATCAATTCATTATGGTAAAATTAGCAATATGTTTATTCAGATATTTGTATTAAATTTTATGAGATACCTATTTTAATTATTTAAACTACTTTATCATGTATATTAATAACACTTTTTGTATGCAGGAGGAAGTGGTAGTATAAATGGCAATAGTAACAAAGGTAAAAACATTTTTTTTTTAATTATTAAAAAAAATATGTCAATAAAATACTTTTAACTAACTGTTCAAAGTAAAACGAGGTTTTCCATTCCCATCTGTTAATGATCAAATAACAGCTTATAATATATTAGTGTAATAAACTATATTACACTTAATATTAGTGTAACAACTTAAACAAAAACTTTTTGATACAAAGAAAACATGTTTTGTTTTCGACGAAAGATTGAGTGCAAATCTTGTTGTTTGTTTTTGAACATAATAAAAATTGTTAATTATTTACTTTGTTTTTATTGTGTATAAATATAATTTTTTGTTTTTAGAAGATGCGTTGTTTTAACTTACTTTACTATTTTAGCTTACTTAATTATGGAAAAATCTTGTTGTCATAGTTAACTGTTCAAAGTTAAACGTGATTTTCCATTCCGATCCATTAATGATTAAACTACTTAAATGTTAGGGTAAATCTTGCGTAAACAACCACTTTTTGATACCTACATCAATTGTCCATAATTCATACAATCCGTTCGATATCCCACGAGCCACTATTAAATGACCATTCTTACATTATGATTTTTAACTAGGATTTGTTTCAAAAGTTCCGCTGAACAACAGTTCTTGTCAACTAATTCAGAGATTAAAACAAAAAGCTTACAATACATTTTTACTTTATCTTCTTAGAATATTAGTATAAAACCCTATCAAGTTAGCATAGTAATTTATTTTACAACAAAAATTAAAATATTTACCCAACTATAAAATATTAAATAACAAATACCTTTTGTGTTTTTTTTTTTAATTTATCAATTTAACTTGTTTATATTATAGGAACCTTAACAATTGGTATGTACATATGTAAATTTGTTATATGTTATGGATTAGGCATTATAACTAGAGCTTGTGATTTTAAACGTGTAATTTAAAAAAAATAATTTTGTCAAACACTTTAGTTTGAGTTAACGCATTTACACAATTATACTTGTGTTTGAGTTCGTATAATTAAACAGACGTGATATTAAAATTAAAACTAAAATTAATAACAAAAATAATTTTTTTTAAATACACGTGTATTTATAAATACATTTGTAGACGATTTTTTTTGTAGTTCTTAACCTGTAAATTATGTGATAAAGATTTGTTGTTAGGCATACAACTTTGTTTAAAAAATTAAATATTAACCAAACATTTTATGTCTAAAGCACGGGCAAAATTACCTAATAAAATATAGAACTTTCTATACAATTACTATGGTTGGAAGATTATACCATTGTCCAAGCAACATAGTTTAATAATTAAATTAAATTAAGGCCAAACCTTTGTTATTTTAATTAATAGATAGAATAGAAAAAAATCTATTATTTTTCCTTTCAAATGTAAAATATTTAATTCCTATAATTTTTATTTTTTTGAGTTATTAAATAAACACATTTTTTTTCAGAATGCCCGTATTGTAAAGGTAATACGAATATTTTTAATTAAAATGTTACTTTTATTTTTAATATTAATATGTAAATAAAATATAACTTACTAACTAATCAAAGTTAAAAGAAATTTTCCATTGAACATGTCGAATAGTCGGACAAAATATGTGTTGTGATAATATTTCCATTCCAATCGGTTAATTATTAAATAACATTTATATAATACAATTTTGATTGTATACATATATATATATATATATATATGTTCGTGATGCATTTACTGCATTGGTTAAGACTTAGTTTTTATTGTTAATTTTTTTTTGAATTATATTCCTTTACTATTTTTTTTATATTTTAGTTAACAACTTGCTAAGTGGACTAAGTAAGAGCTAATATATTTAATTTATAAACTTAACATTAATGTATTATCTATGTCGTATTTATTTATTTTAATTACAATTTGGAACGACCAGATACTTTTATTTTTAAAAAACATCCCAATAATCTATTTTTAATCGATACTGACCTAACTAAACTTGGAATGGATATAAACTAAGAACTGTTAAAATACTTTTTTTAATATATTATGTTTGATAAAAATAAAAAATGATTTTAAGATAAATGTTGAAAAATTCAGTTAAAAAAAAAAAACAGCATACATAAATCCGAAATTTTTAGAAGCAATCTTAATTTACCCAAAATATATTTTAGTTAGTAAATCCATGTGCAATATTATACTTAAGTATACTAATTTAATGTTTTATAACTCAGTTAGTAATTGAATAAACATTTTTTGTTTCAGACTGCACGAATTGTCGTAATGTTAAATTTTTTTTTATAATATTATATTAGGCTTATAATTAATGCAAATTTGACAAAGTCTCATTTTAATTTAAAGTTTTTATTCTGGTTTCTGGTGTAAACTGTTCAAAATAATTAATCGTTAATATAAAGACAGATTTATCTTAAATATATTGTCCGAGCTTCTTTGAAGTTATGTGGAGACATGTAAAATATATTTACACGCCTTGCAGTTACTCCCATTTGGATATCTAAAGTTGATTGACGATGGAACATGCAAGTGTTTCGAAACGATGGCGAATCAGTCAAGATATCTAAAGGGTAGTAGTAATCGCTAGGTGTAAAAATAGTGTAAATATAATACCCCATTCAAGTTTTAATAATATACATTTAATTATAAAAAATATTTTTGGGTGTACGTTGATAAAATTAAATGGTAAATAGAGTAGCTAAAACCATTGATAGTGTGATAATGTGATATTTTATTTTCAGATGAACGGCTTCATCAGTAACATATGTAAGTGCTAAATATAGGGTTATTAAATTTTTTTGTGGTTTGAATGAACGATTATTTATTATACATTTTGTTTTTTTTTTGTTATAATTTAATATACGTTATAATATTTTTAACTATTGTATTCAAACGCATCTAAGGCATTGATTTGTTTTGTTCAAACATTAATAAAAGCAATAAAATGTAAACAATTTAAGTTGAACTAATTTGTATTTTCGTTCAACGTTTTTAATATTTGTATATTGTAATTGTAACGTTTATTTAATTCATTGTGCATTGATTTATTAAATTCCTTTTAATGCATATTGTAAACATTTACTGAGTGTCACTGTACATAATATTATATAATATACCAATTCATCATTCAAAATAATTATTTCAAATGTTCTTTATAATTGTTATTATGATGATATCTTAAGCAAATTCATTTTTTGTTATATATATTTTTTTATGTGGATGTTTTAGAATAATTTATTTTGAAATTTTCTTAATGAAACGTATATAATTTAGGAGATTAAGGAGTTATTACAGATAACTTTAGGTTATCATAATCAATTCCTTTAATTTTTTTAGCATTTGGTTTTGAATTTCATACTCTAAGTAGAGTGCAGCTCGTTTACGTGTAAATGTGATTTTTTATATTAATTATTCTATCAGAGTAATATTTTCATGGAAACATGAAAACAATATGCATCTTACAACAATAACAAAGTGCACTGGGCATATTATGTGCCTTGGGACTTAGATACATATGTAATGCAAATAAAAACAATTTTATATCAATGATGATATATTTCCGTAGTCAAAGTGAGTGAACAGACATATTGAAACATAGGGCAAAACATCATAGGCCAATATCTTTTTTTCTATTTCCTGTTTTCTTATCACTATTGGGAACCACTTAAAAGTGTTATACTACCAATAAATTTCTAGTTGATCCGACCATTTTCTTAAAACTACAGCAGGATAAAGTTGAAAATTGAAATATCGTGTGGTTTTGTGTTGAATTTTCACGATTGTAAGGGTAGATGAGTAAATGTTTTCAAATTTGAAACCCAAAATCGTTATTGTCCATAAAATGGACAAAATGTGAATTATTGGAGTAAATATATTTACTGTTTTTTTTATATTTTTAAATTAATATTATTTTGGCTCCATACGACTGACGGTTCTTTATAGTCTACATGTCGACTATATAAACACTATGAATTTTCAACCAATTCATACAGAATTTAACATTTAGATATTAGAAGTACAATACCATAATACTCTAGATGGGTAATATAGGTTGTTGAATAGGGTGGCTACATAATAATATCTAAGTCTTCGAGCCATTTAATTGCGTCCGTGGTAACTTTGTTGAGTTCTGCTAGTCCCCGTGGGAATGATCTGATTGGACATTTTTCTACTATATGTCTTGAGGATTGTATTTGATGTCCACAGTCGCATTGTGGGGAGGGCTTTTTTTTGGAGGGGTTGCATTGTTAGTGTGTGAAAATTCATAAGATTCGTGAGAACAGTACTGTAAGTAAGGATGGTCGAGGGTGGTAAACCTTTAACCGTCTAAGACGTTGCCCGGTTTGCAACGCGTGGAAGCGATTTACCATGCAAACCATAATATTGTAATGGAATATATGTTTTCTCTTTAAAATAATATTTTATTTTATAATTATTAGCTATAAATTATATTTGATCTACAACTGTAAGAATGAAGTTTACTTGCGTGACCTTAAGCGATTAGGACTAATTTGATTTAGTCAATTTCAAAAGTTTAACTCATTTAAGCATACTATACTGTTATAAGCCATAAAACAATTTATGGGTATTGTATTATGGAATTGTACTGTATTTATGGGTATTGGGTATTGTAAATCATTTTATTTTTGAAAAAGCAAATATTAATAAATGTGTCAATGTGTTATTAGAAAATAGTCCTGCAATAACAAAATACAATTTGTCTAGCCTGTTATTTGGTCTATAATACTTTATAGTAATTATAGTGCTATTACTGTGATAGCTTAAAATCACTATAATACTACTCAGCTCCGCATAGAAAATAAAGTTCAATAAAATATAGATGTTACCATTGTGGTTTCAAAACTAGATAAAGCACTAGAAAATACTAAAAGAAATAATAAAAAACTGACCATCGTCAGATATTGTAATATAACAATAACAGAAATATTTTTGAAAATAATTACTAAATAACTGTCATTATTTTAAGAGTAAAATAAAGTACTGCGTACTACTTCTACACGCACTCCAGTTTATAATAATATTTAATTATTCTTTTTAGCAATTTATTAACTAAGTTGGACTGTATTTTTTTTTTTTTTTTTTTTTTGAAAGGGAAAGTACAATTTATTGCAAACGAGTCTTGTCTTTCGAACCCCTGATAAAACAATGTATTTTCTACAAACAATGGTAAGATTTCTGAAAAACATGAACCGATTTATAAGCCAAATTATCATTCTTATAACATTTGAACTACATCTATTATGTATTAATACATGAAATGACTTAGATGGATAGAGTTTAATGGTGGCATGAAATTGATGTAAATTAAGGTCAATATATTGGTAAAAAAATCTGGTAAAATCGATTTCTTTATCTGTTATTTAGCAGTAGTTCATGGTTTTGAAATTATACTCAAAAATGAGCGCAGCTCGTTTATGTTGTAAATGTGTTTTTGTATTTATTCTATCAAATAAATATTTTCGCAGACAAAAGTAATGAACACTAGTACATACCTAAAGCGAACAAAAAGCAAAATTTATTACATTTTTACGGGTCGTCTGTGAACAATAGAAAAACGAATAAAATCAACTTATTTATTTGTTTTATTTAGGAGTAGATTTTCGCAGACAAAGCATACAATAGAAGCTTGAACAAATATTTAAAACACAATATAAACAAACACTAGTACATACCTGCAGCTGACAAAAGCAATTATTTTCAATGATATATTTCGATAGTCGAATTGAATGTACGAATTTTAAGAATAATAACGTCGAAAACAACAGCACACAAAGTCCAAAGCTTGATATTGACATATTGATACATAAGGAAAAAATTTATGAAGGGTGGGAGAGAGCCTTCTCATAAACTAATTAAATACCACCACAGACATTTTTACCTAATTACTTATTTACTACAACCAATAGGAACCATCTATGTAATAGTGTAATTATACAGTTCAAAGTCAACCATCAGTCCTATGTAGACGTAGTTGGATTCGACCGATTCTATATTTGTAATAAAAAGTAATAATTTGCGTTAGAAACTTGAGAACTTTGTGTATGCGGACAACATGCTAGACAAATTATACAGTTTACATACCTTAATGGGGATGTGTATGTGTACAGTAATTGAGTGCGCACAGATAGTTAGATTGATATAATTCTATACTTAACTCATTCATTTCATGATTACTTAGATATTGAAGTATTACAAATTTTCGGGATTGTTATGATTTTTACATTGAGTATAATTTACAAAAAAAAAATGTTTCAAGTTAATCATTAGAACAATTGTTTATTAGATGTATAAGATAAATCTATGAATTTTATTAACAAAAAATAATTTGTCCGATTAAAGTGACGCATATTTCATTTTTTTCTTATTTCAAGACATTATGTTTTACGTACAAAATATGTTATTGTGCTGTTTACCAAACTACGAATATCTGCGAAAAATGTACATTTAATGTAAATATTTGGTAGCCGCCAACAAATTTTTGACCCAGAAAAACATGTTGGTTGTCGGCTAAAGTTAGTGTATAAATTACACAGAACATGATGTATCTTATTCATTCTTTAAGTCGTTCAATTTTCAGTTAGTAATAATCGTTTATAAAGATGGATTCTAAAAAAATCATTACACAGACCATCGTATCACTATTTGTCTTAATAGCAATTACAGGTAACATATATTTTAGTTTTCTGCCAACTTATTGTATTACAGTACATATTATTATGTTGAAAAAAAATAAGATAAATATTTTTTAATTATTGTAATGTGCTATGTAATAATTATTTGAATGGTTTGCGTTAATGCATTTTATATATTACAGCCGTTAATGGAAGACCCAGTGGAGCAGGTATTTCTTACATTTAGTTGTAAACTATTAAGATAGCAATGAAGTTTCCTACATTTTTGTAAAGTTAGTGTACCTCTTTATACAAATTTACTTTTATGAGGCGGCAAACGAACTTCATTTTAACCTTTAATTATTCATAGTTATAAAAAATAATATTGGTAAATTACGTTATATTAATTATAGAGAATTCTAGTCTAGTCAGGACTTAAAAAAAAAAAAAGCTAATAAATTTAGGCTTCTACCAGTAGGCGTAAAATTAAGTTTATTTTTCCTTTTCCTAGTCGACTAGCTTAGTTATTTATTGTTAGTTTAGTACATTATTAACTATATTAATATTTGTCTCTGATGTGTGGCGTGTAAGATGAGATGAGCGTATTCATCCGCCGAACAATTAGTATCAATTCATTATGTTAAAATTAACAATATGTTCATTTTGATATTTGCATTAAATTTGATGAGATAACACATTAATTTATTTATTTCGCTTTATTATATACATGTAAATAACACTTATTTTTTACGCAGGAGGAAGTGGTAGTGATTTTAACAACAGAGGCAAAGGTAAAAAAATATAATAGCAAAAAAAATGTAAATAAAATACTATTAATTAACTGTTCAAAGTTGAACGAGGTTTTCCATTCTGATCCATTAATGATTAAATAAAATAAAAACATTTTTTTTTTACACAGGAATTCAGGGCCCTGACGATGTTCGCTTTTTCGGTAGATATACAGTAACTTTTTTAGGTTAACTATAGAAAATTCTATAGTTGTTTGTTTTTGAACGTAACAAAAATATTGTAATCTACTTATTTTGTATAAATATATTTTTTTGTATGTAGCATTAAAGGATAACAAATCTGAAGAAAGGAAATATATTGGTGGAGTTATCGGTATGTATACTGTAACTATTTTAGCTTAATTATAGAAAACTCTTGTCTTGTCAAAACTTTCAAAAAAATAAACCTCATCAATTAAAACAGTTACAGGTAGTTAAGTTAAGTTAATTTAGTAGACTAATTATTTATTCTTAATTTAATATAATATCGATTGTGTTTGATTGGCCACGTAAAAGATAAGCTGATCGTTTTCATCATCCACTCACAGATAAACTTGTATTAATTTTTTACGTTAAAATTAACAATGCGTTAATACTGATAATTGTACTAGGTTTTATATGGTATAATTATATTATTTATTTCATTTTATTATGTACAAAAAACATTTGTTTTATGAAGCTGATAAAAAAAAGAGAAAATCATTTGTTCAGTGCATTATGTCTTTTAGGAACTGATTGTTAAAATATCTATTATGTTGTATTAATTTCACTTACTGTATGCAGGAAATTGTGAAGGTTTCAGTTACGACGGCCTAGTACCTAAAGTATGGCGTAAATCAGGCGAAGATTCCGGTATGTATGCTTTCGTAGTTTGTTTGTAACTTTTTTGTGTGATTATCTTTTTTGTTTTTTAAATCTAATTTCATTATTTAGATTTTTGGAGTTTTTAAAACTCTGCAATATAAGTATCCAGAATTCATACAATCCGTTCGTTATCCCACAAGTCGCTATTAAATGATGATTCTTAAATTATGATTTTTAATTAGGATTTGTTTCAAAAATTCGGTTCTTTATAAATAAATAAAATAAGATACATAATAAAAAAAATAGAATGTTTGATAAAAGTGTATATTTAATACGATAGTTTTTTTCTAAACACTATTACTGTTATAATACGTTATGTTTTAGCAGTTAGTAAAATATTTGATTGTAGGCCGACATAAGAGAAGGAGAAAAGTTACTTTTCCCAGTCCGTTGCACAACAGTTGTTGTCAAAAAATTCAATGAATAAAACAATACAAAAAACAAAAAACTTACAATACATTTTTACTTTATCTTCTTAGAATATTCGTATAAAACCCCTATCAAGTTTGCATAGTAATTTATTTTACAACAAAATGTTAGATCATATTAACGCAAATATAAAATATTAAAAAACAAATATCTTTTGTGTTTTTTTTTAATTTATCAATTTTACTTCTTTGTACTATAGCTACTCCAGCGGACAAAATAAGTATGTACATATATAAATTTATTGATATTTATGTTGGATTTTAGAAAGTAAACATCGAACTAAAGTTATGAAATAAACATATTTTTTTCAGAATGCCCGTTTTGTGCAGGTAATACTTATATTTTAATTAAAATGTTACTTTTCTTTTTAATATAATTATGAAAATAAAATAAAACATACTAACTATTCAGAGTTAAACGAGATTTTCTATTTAACATGTAGAATAGTTGATGATAATATGTGTTGTGATAATATTTCCATTCTGATCGGTTAATTATTAAATAACATTCATATAATACAATGATTATTGTATAAATATAATATATATATATATATATATATATATATATATATATATATATATATATATATATATATATATATAAGTGTTTATATTTGTGATGGACTTACTGCATTGGTTTATCATTTTTGTTGTTAATATTTTTTTTTTTAATTTATAATTCTATTTGAATAGTTGCCTAACATTTATATTTTTTTCATATTTTAGTTCAAAACAGTCGGAGCGCAGAAAGTAAGAGCTAATATATTTAATTTATAAACTTTACATTAATGTATTATCTATGTCGTACTTAATTATTTTACTAAAAAAACAAACACAACGTACATAAATCCAAAAAATATATTTTTGTTTCAGAATGCGGTAAATGTAGTAAGTTAAAGTTTTTTTAATATTTTTTAGTATGCCTTTAATAAATAAAAGTTATACAAAGTCATATTATAGATAAGTGTTTTGTTTATCTAGTAAGAATTGTTGAATATGATTGATAGTTCTTGTAATGACGGATGTATATTAAATTTCCTTAACATTGTCTGATCTTTGTCATTTAAGTTATTTCGAGACATATACATTACAATTCAAAATATTTTTGGATATTAATAAATTAAATGGTAAATAAAATAGCTGAAACCATTGGTAGTATGATAACGTGTTATTTTATTTCCAGAGAAACCGCTTAAATGACATAATATGTAAGTACTGAGTATAGTTTTGTTAATATTTTTTGTGGTTTGATTAAACGACTATTTATTATACATTTTGTTTTTTTGTGTTATAATGTTATATTTTTCAAGAACAGACTACTGAACCGTCATCTCCCTCAACGCAGATTTAAGAATAATATTTTTATTCTAAAGAAATATATGTTGTAGTAATTTTTATTTATTGTATTCATATCTAACGCATTGATTTGTTGTAAGGAGTTTTAATTATCTTTTAATTGTTATTCAGTTTTCAAACATTAATAAAAGTAATAAAACATTAACGATTAAATTTGAATTAATTTTTTGTTTCGTTTAATGTTTTAATCATTTCATTGATTGTAATATTTAAATAATTACATAACATAATATACACATTATAATATAATAATATTATAACTTTAAAAATTCAGTGTGCTTTGATTTATTAAATTAGCTGGCGTTAAGAAATTGAATTAACCTTTTAAGTTCGAACATTATCAAAACGATTATAAATAACAAACAATTTTATTAACATTTTATTGTTGTTGTTTTTTTTTCTTCAAAAACAAGTTATTAATCTTAACATATTTTGTTTTGCGGTGATGTTTGTATCTTAAATTTTGAACTATTTTATTTCTAATCATTAATATTTGTATTCAACTGTTTTAGCTAAAATGTCTTAATTGCACAATAGTTAACGATACATTTTTTAAAACTAAATACAATAATTTCCCACAATTTGTACAGTTATATATTGTTAAAAATATGTTTGTTTTCTACAATGACTATTGCAATAAAAATGAATGACAAACACCTTTATGCATCGTTTACTTTTATTTTTTAACGAATGGTTATGAACTTTACTGTAAAAAAGTAACACAAAAAAATCATAACGATTACTCTACAAGTTGTATTAGTCTATAATTATTTAACCTTAAAAACGATTATTTTTTTGTTATTTGTCTTTATATGTTTTAACAAAGAAGTATGCAAAGTAGAACTCTAATTCACATAATTTATAGCGAATACTTGTTCTGATTTCGAATTAATATTATAGTTGTAATTAATAATTACTATTAATTACATATTAATTATTAATTATTAATAGTATAACTAAAAAAAATATTCAACTAATATCAGCTGTAGTTATAATATTTTAGTAGTTGGAATAAAAATCAAAATTTGGACACTAAAAAAATGGTTGCAATAACTCTTCGGTTTTATGCGCATAGATTATCTCTTAAAAAAATATCCCTCAAAAGTGGCTTTAATTTCACAGGGGTTTTTTTTTAAGCGATTTTAAGCTAAAAGAAACCGCTTGAGTACCTCTAAAGTATTTATCATAAAAATCAAATGTTTTAAATGAAATCCTGATTCATGGTAGCTGGTCAAAGTTTAAAATCGCTCCCTTGTAAAATCACTGGAATCGACTTACACACTTATTCAGAGTTGTTACAGGCTAAAGCTGTATTATTATACATGTTAAAAGTTAATAGAGAACTACGAAGCAATTACAATTATAAAACCTAGAACTTAGTTTGGAATTTAACATTTTTTTTTAAATGGCTATACAAATATGTTATTTTACCCCTTAAGTGATTTAGCTACATGTAGATATGGCACTTATGTGTATGATCAATAATCATATAAATTTAATTACATTAAATACAGTATTTTTCACAATGACTGTTGAAATGTAAAAAACTGACTAATAACTGTTGGCATACATTTTTAAGTTTTAACATTATAAGAACCGTTTTGTACACACTATACAGTAAAACATTTAATAGATTTTATTCTGTTATTTGGGAAAAATAAGTTTTTTGTTTGTTTGTCATATAAGATAATAAGGGAATCTGAATGTATGAACACAATAATTGTAAAATGTGTTCATTACAATACAAGATATCCACAGGGCTGTAATTTGGATTAGACTACATCGTTTTTAAAGATTCGAATATTCGAATAGTTGTAAAATAATATACATTTTAAATTAGATTGTAATTCCTACTTTAATCGATCTAGAAGAATGTTAAGTTCGTACTTAAAAATATTTTCAGCACGATTCTACCCAGCCCGGTCCAATCTAGCCCAATAAAATAAAATATGTAACTGGCTGGATGGACGTGGACTGAGTGGAATCGGGTTAAAACTATTTTTTCAAACATAAAATCGAGTTGGGTAATATTTTATTTTGTCAAGCTAACTTAAGTCTATTTTTGCATTTTTATATCCATCTGACCAAGTGATCGTCAAAACCACCCTAAAATGTAATACATTTTTCATCTTAAAATTAAACGGCAAAATATAACGGTCAATACGGTACAAAAACAGGTAGAATCAATTACTTTATTTATTTTATTTAACAGTAGATTTTGGATTTAAAATCAAGCACAAAGTACAGCGCAGGTCGTTTACTTGTGCATGTGTTTTTATATTAGTTTTATTAAATTAAATATTTTTGCAGACAAAACATACAATAGAAACTTTAAAAAAATTGCACAATACCGAATACAATATAAACAAACAATAGTACATACCAAAATAAAAACCCGCAGATATTTTATAATATTATGCTTTATGAGTATAAATAATGCAAATCTTGTTGTTTGTTTTTGAACATAATAAACAACTTAGAGGAGGGTTTCGTCATATTATATAATATATATACAGGATGATTTTTTTATCATGAGCCAGTCATTATCTCACTGGGTTTAAAAAATAATTAAATTTTTTTTTAAAAAAATACTATGTAAGCTTTGTGTAGACTGGTAATGAAATGTAAACTGTATAATAATTGATGTACAAAATATTTTCTTTACAACAAAAATTCACCAATCATTTGCACCACATTTTTTAAAATGTCAATTCCTTTGAAAATAATATATTTAAACAATGTTAAATATTTTAAATTTTTGACTGAAAATAAAAGCGTGGGGCTTCCATCTAATCTTTAACGCAATGTGAACATTTAATGACTTTTTGCATACGGCCCATGCTGTTCTCCTTTGTACAAAATTACAGATGTTTAACATTATTTAAAATTGTTATTAATTTTCAATCGTTTTTAAAGTAATTGACGTTTTGTAAAATATGGCCTTAACAAATTCTAGATCATTTGGGCAATAATTTTAAAGAAGCGACAAAATATTTAATTAAAAAAAACGTCTAAGCAGAAAAACTAACGGGTTTTGTATGTATGGATTGTCTGATGTTTATCTAAAAGTGACTATATCACTCAAGGTTAAGTCAAAAAGAAAATAATTTCAACCTTCCCTTAAAATCGACAAAACCACCCTAAAAATAAGCACATTTTTCATCTCAAAATTATACGGTAAAATATAACGCACAGTACGGTACAAAAACGGGTTGAAACAATTTATATATTTGTTTTATTTAGCAGTAGTTGTGTGGTTTTGTAATTAAACTTAAAATATAGCGCACCTCGTTTATATGTAAATGTGTTTTTATATTTGTTCTGTCAGAAAAATGTTTTCCCAGACAAAACATACAATATAAACTTGGAAAAAATGTGCACAATACAATATAAACAATCACTAGTAGCTGACAAAAACAACATTTTATTTACAATGATATCTTTCGGTAGTCAAATCGAATGTACGGGTTTTAAGAATAATAATGTCAAAAACAATAGCACACAAGTCCACGGCTTAATACAGACATATTGAAACACAAGGCGAAGTGTCATTGGGGGGAGGCCTGCTCGTAAATTAATTAAATACCGCCCAAACGTTTTTCTTTATTCACTAATTTATTACCACTAGGAAATACCGAAAAGTATAACAATACCGATTTTTTTAAAAAAGGTAGCGCAGCACAAATAGTGTTAAGTTTCAATTTTTTCATAAAAAATTTTATATTTTTTCTTTGAATTCAGATACCAATATGTTAAAACACAAAACTACACATTTATAAGTTTCTCTGAACAAAGACATAATACTGTAAAAATAAAAGTTTTAATTAAAATATTATCAAGCATAATTCAAATTACCTACTCTATTTATTTTAAATAACATGTTATTTGTATATTTTTCAGTCGATATAGCGGTTATCATTATTATTTACTATCGGTGAATTATTTACCTAAAGTGAATAGTGTTTGGTACGGTTATGATTTTTAAACGCTACTATAGCTATTGTCAAAGTTAATTGTCAATAAATAATAACAGAGAGCAGTCAAGTGTCACCTTAATATGTTAGCGTCTCCAAGATATTCAATTTATTTTTTACACTCCCTTTAATTTTAAAACTGTGTAGCTCGTTAACTACTCAATCAATTTACCTAGTTTTTACGCCTAAAATTAAATTTTTAAAAAAATAAACAGATCATCAAAAAAAAATTGGGAGTTACCATTTAAAAATCCAAAGTTGATATGGTTTTAACGCATAAGGGATGGTGTTAAAATTTTGAAATATATATAAAATTTGTCCCAATTAATTACTATAAAAGTATAGAAAAAAAAAAATTAAAAAAGTGTAATATCTTCTAAGATATTGAGTGGTCCATAGTTAACCAATCACCCGGTACAATTAACATAAAT